CCCTTTCGCGGGATTTGTGGGGATGTCTCAGGCGGTTTGGCCATTTTCTCTTCCAACATGTTTCGCTTTCGGAGCAGATTTGGAGGACGTTCGCGCCCAAGTTTGCGGGGATGTCTCAGGCGGTTTGGCCGTTATGATGCTGGGCATCTGTCGTTTTCGGAGCAGTTTTGGGAGGATGTCTCAGGCGATTTGCTGGTTTCAGCACTCCCAGGAGGAGGAGGAGGAGGAGGAGGAGGAGGAGGAGGAGGAGGAGGAGGAGGAAGAGAAGGAGGAAGCGAGGAGGAGGAGGAAGAGGACGAGGAGGAGGAGGAGGAGGAGAAGGAGGACAGCATGAACACGGTAGGAGCAGAAGCAGGAAGGGGATGATGATGATGATGATGAGGAGGAGGAGGAGGAGGAGGACGTGGGCAACTCGAGTAGCCAGGGCCAGACGATCGAGGTTCGATGTTCCAAAGCTTTAGGTTTTACTCAAACGCTTCCGCCTCACTCTCCTTCGCTCTCCGCTCTCCTTCACTCTTCTGCATTCATACTCACTCATACTCAGACTCAGTCACACGCAGGCTCACTCGCACTTAGACTCGCTCATATCCATACTTAAACTTACTCACACTCAGACTCACGCTCAGAACCACTCATACTCAGACTCGCTCCTGCTCAGACTCATCATCCTTCGGTCCGCTCAAACGCAGACCGACTCACACTCAGACTGCCTCACATCCATACCCAATCACACTCGGCTCACTCGCACTCAGATTCATTAACACACACTTTTTCTCACACTCAGACCCACTCAAGCCCAGACTCACTCATGCTCAGACTCATCATGCTACGATCCGCTCAATCACAGACTGGCTCACACTCAGATTCGTCCATACTCAGACCCACTCGCACACAGACGCACTCGCGCTCATATTTACTCACACGCATACCCACTCAAACCCAGGCTCAATCGCACCCAGATTAACTCACACTCAGAATCAGTCGCTCTCAGATTTGCTATTGGTCGCACTCATGCTTGCAGACTGTGGGAATGTCTCGAGCGAGCGGTTCGCCCTCGCACACAGACGCTCATTGACAGATATCAGTAGAAAGACGTACCAAGATAATGAAATGCACACGTGGGGAGCCCAGCGTCGAGTAATACGTGGACGCCTCCTACTTCCTCTTCTCTTCCTCCTTCCCTCCTCCTCCTCCTCCTCCTCCTCCTCCTCTCCTCCTCTACTCAGACTTGCTCATACCCAGACTTGCTCATGCACAGACTTATGCACACTCAGACATTCTCATACTCAGACCTACTCATACTCAGACCTACTCATACCCAGACGTAAACATACACAGACTTACTCATACACAGGCTGACTCATACTCAGACTTACTCATACCCAGACGTACTCATACACAGACTCACTCATACTCAGGCCCACACATACTCAGACCTTCTCATAGTCTGAGTTACTCAACGCACGGCAGATTGTGAGGTTGTCTCAGGCGGGGCGCTGGTTTCAGCACCCCTAAGGGGAGCCGCCAGGGGGTATATCACGGGCCCGTTCGCGGCCAGTTTGTGGGGATGTCTCAGGCGGTTTGTTCGTTTTCGTGCTCAACATCCTCGGCTTTCACAGCAGATTGTGAGGATGTCTCAGGCGGGGCGCTGGTTTCAGCACCCCTAAGGGGAGCCGCCAGGGGGTATATCACAGGCCCGTTCGCGGCCAGTTTGTGGGGATGTCTCAGGCGGTTTGCTCGTTTTCGTGCTCTACATCCTTGGCTGTCATTGCAGATTGTGAGGATGTCTCAGGCGGGGCGCTGGTTTCAGCACCCCTAAGGGGAGCCGCCAAGGGGTATATCACGGGCCCGTTCGCGGCCAGTTTGTGGGGATGTCTCAGGCGGTGTCCTTGTTTTCATGCTCAACATCCTTGGCTTTCATAGCAGATTGTGAGGATGGAGGAAAGGGGGAGGAGGAGGAGGAGGAGGAGGAGGAGGAGGAGGAGGAGGAGGAGGAGGAAGAGTATGCACATCTGGGAAGCTCCGACGTTACCGCAGGCTGAGGAGGGCACGGCCTGGCAGCTGAGGAGGGGGAGTGAAGATGAAGAGGCTCATGTTCAATCATACTCAGCTCACTCTGACTCATACTCACTCACTCGCATCAGGATGCACTCGTCTTCGTCGGGTCTGTCGCCAACGCGGACGGGCTATTATAGTCAAACGCTCATGAACAGACGCTCACTACGGCATAATATAAAACATGAGATGCACATATGGGGAGCTCCACGAAGTGAGTAATTTGAAAACCGTGCGTTCTCTTCATATGCTCTCAAAACACTCGATTCTGACATCCGTATATACGTCACCTCATATTGTCAAAGGATTTCGACATGCGCGCGCGACGACGCGCGCGTGTACACTTCGTACCGGGAAGACTCAATGCTATGTGGCAAACGAATGCGCTCGAAGTATAGTTCCCAACCATCCTGTGGTGTTGGGTCCTCGTTTTGAAGAGACGGTGCCCCGCCTCCCTCCTCCTTCCTTCCTTCGTTCCTTCCTTCCTGCCTCCTCCCCCTTCCTCCCCCCCCCTCCTCCTGTCCGCATGCGGTTCCCCCACCCATGGCAGCGTTTCGTGGCCCCATTGGGAGTTCCACCGTAGGCCCCAGTGGGGGTGCCCGCATGCGGTTCCCCCACCCAGGGCAACAACTCGTGGCCCCATAGGGAGCTCCACCGAAGGCCCCAGTGGGGGTGCCCGCATGCGGTTCCCCCACCCAGGGCAGCGTTTCGTAGCCCCATAGGGAGCTCCACCGTAGGCCCCAGTGGGGGTGCCCGCATGCGGTTCCCCCACCCAGGGAAGCGCTTCGTAGCCCCACAGGGAGCTCCACCGAAGGCCCCAGTGGGGTTGTCCGCATGCGGTTCCCCCACCCATGGCAGCGTGTCGTGGCCCCATAGGGCGCTCCACCGAAGGCCCCAGTGGGGGTGTCCGCATGCGGTTCCCCCACCCAGGGCAGCGTTTCGTGGCCCCATAGGGAGCTCCACCGTAGGCCCCAGTGGGGGTGTCCGCATGCGGTTCCCCCACCCAGGGCAGCGTTTCGTGGCCCCATAGGGAGCTCCACCGTAGGCCCCAGTGGGGGTGTCCGCATGCGGTTCCCCCACCCAGGGCAGCGTTTCGTGGCCCCATAGGGAGCTCCACCGAAGGCCCCAGTGGGGGTGCCCGCATGCGGTCCCACCACCCAAGGCAGCGCTTCGTGGCCCCAAAGGGAGCTCCACAGTAGGCCCCAATGCGGGTGTCCGCATGCGGTTCCCCCACCCAAGACAGCGTTTCGTGGCACCATTGGGAGCTCCACCGTAGGCCCCATTGGGGGTGTCCGCATGCGGTTCCCCCACCCAAGGCAGCGTGTCGTAGCCCCATAGGGAGCTCCACCGTAGGCCCCACCCAGTGGGGGTGCCCGCATGCGGTTCCCCCACCCAGGGCAGCGTTTCGTAGCCCCATAGAAAGCTCCACCGTAGGCCCCAGTGGGGGTGCCCGCATGCGGTTCCCCCACCCAGGGCAACAACTCGTGGCCCCATAGAGGATGCCACCGTAGGCCCCAGTGGGGGTGCCCGCATGCGGTTCCCCCACCCAGGGCAGCGTTTCGTAGCCCCATAGGGAGCTCCACTGAAGGCCCCAGTGGGGGTGCCCGCATGCGGTTCCCCCACCCAGGGCAGCGTTTCGTAGCCCCATAGGGAGCTCCACCGAAGGCCCCAGTGGGGGTGTTCGCATGCGTCTTCCCTACTAGCACCACCGAAAACGATATTCATATTTGCGGTATTCACAACTGCATATGGTTGGGTCCTTCGCCAGGCTAATTTTTACGAGAATGATGTGGGGGTCCCGGTCTAGCTGGGATGGTGTGAGTTAAAAAACTCGGCTGCACGAGGTTTCAGAATAATCTGTGAATTTCACATCCCCAGGGTGGACCGATAACCCCGGCCTCGGGTGCGCGGTAGACCCCGATTCTCCGGTAGAAAAAGGATTCTACGCGGTGCAATCCCTGTCGTGTAATCTAGGCGGCGACGGGGCGGAGACGGCGACAACAAGGCGGCCGGACAGACGGGCAGGACTAGAAGACCGGCAGCGACGAGGCGGCGACGGCGACCACAGGGCCGCCAGACCGACGGGCACGCCCAATTCCGCAGAGAAGAAATAGGAGCCCCAAAGTGCAAGCACCGTTTGAGAAGTTCCTGCATCTCGGGGGCATCCTTCGGATGCTTCTAGCTTGTCGCCAATGTAAGACATCTGCAAGGACCGCAACAGTTCTCCACATAAGAAGAATAATACAACAGTTAATAATACACAAAGAATAGCAAAACTACGAGGAATAGGAATCAACACCTCAATAATAACAATAACAATAATAACTATATGTGTGTGCGTGCCTAAAATTATTCTGCGACCTCAGCCTCAAGATCCCGAGGGAATGGGTCCTGCACTGTAGGGCTTCCCCCTGTGACAGCCTCTTGAAGTTGTATTTCTGACAGACCTCGGGGTCTGTGAAGGGCCCAGACAACCCGAGAACGGCGCAAGATGTTGGGACCCGTTCCCCGCAGACCTTAATCCATCCATGCTTCACGAACGCCCCACCGCCGTGGCTTCTTCACAGCGCAGACCCACCGAGGTCCGAACCTTGCCCCCGGGACCCGCTTTTGCAGCACGAGCCACTGTTTGAAGGCCACCGGATCCAGCGAGGGTCCTGATGGCCGCCCAAGCCACCCCCACACCCACCACAGCAGGTTCTATGAATGCCAGAAAGGCTGCCGCGCTGATCACTGGGTACGCATGTGGGGCGCGCGCTGACGAAGTCCCAGGGGCCGCCAACCACCACCCCCGCCGAGGTCCGAGCCTTCTCCCCGGGACCCGCTTCTGCAGCACGAGCCACTGTTTGAAGGCCGCGGGAACCCGCGAGGGCCCCCGGTGGCTGCGACTTCTCCACGGCGCGAGCAGGTCGGGGGTCTCCCCTGCCGCCCTCCCCCTGGCGGGCCTGAGTGCTGGGCACGTGCAGGCACTTCTCCACGAGGCGCTGGATGCCGCGGCACCCAAACTGGCGCAGCGGGAGGAGGCGGGAACGTGAGGCGCACGCACGCCGTGACCACTACGGGACGGCGGTCCAGAAGAGCTCGGCCACACGACTTCGCGCACCGCGCCCCACGATGCGCGACGATCTTCGCGACCTCGCGCCCTCATGCCGCCCCCCTCGAAGAAGGGCAACCGCTCTGGCCCAGACTGTGCCGCGTGGACCGCGATAATCTTCGCGCCCCCGCGGGAAAACCTAAGAAAGGGCACGGGGTGGCGATGCAGAACATCTGTGTTCTGCCGCTGGGGAGGGGTAGAGGGCAATTGGGAATCTGAATTGCAATTGCGCCCGCGAGCACGCGCGGAACCAAACTTACAAACCGTCGCCAACGAAGCTTCCGCGTGAAGGGCCCCACACGGGAGTTTGACCATCGTCACGCCGCACTGCTGCCAGCCGCGAGCACCACGACACGGGGCCATCGTCCTCTCCTCGGCACACTCGCCACTCCGCGTTGGAACTGCTTCATCGCCGCTGCCTCGGCCCTCATTCTCTAAGCTCATCAACCCTCGAGCCACCACGGTCGTTGTTCGCGTTCACCTTTGTTTGGCGGCGCGCGCAAGGGGGTGGGGGGAGGGGGGGAGAGCTTCTTAGAAGCAGGGGTGCTTCGAAGAAGCCCTCCCCCCTCCCCCCCCCAGACGCCCTCTGCGCGTGGCTGACCTGTGACTCACTGGTACGGCCTGGGCCGCTGCGCCCAGGAGGAGCCTGCCGAGGCGACGAGGCGAGGCGAGGCGAGCGGCCTGCGGAGAGCCCCCCTGCGAGGGCCCCGGGAGGCCGAAACCTGCCCAAACCTTGCGCCGTGACAGATGCTACTAGCAACCTCGCAGACACGAGTAGAGGGCAGAACATCCATCCCCATAACCACCCCGACAAGCGATGCCGTGCAGTAAGCGCACCCAAAGAAGGAGTCGGACAGGGCAGGGCTGTTTTTGAAAGCGCCCAGGACTGTTTAGTAAACGCCAATTGTCGGGTCCGGGTGTTTTTTCCACCCTTGAGCGAGGACGTCAGGGAACTTGGGAGGGAGAGGAGCGACGAGCCGCACAAGAAGCAGGCCCGGCGGTCTCCAGAACACGTGCTTGTGCTTTTCGGTCTCCAGGGCGAATTCCTGGAGGTCCCCAAGAGCGCGTTTCTTTACCATCGGCGATGACGAGCGTCATGGGGGGGGGAGGGGGCGGGGGGGTATGACGTAACGCCCCCCCCCGCCGCGCGACTCCGGCACCACAGCCGCGCCCGCGCGCACGACGACGATGAGCGGCGAGCGACGAGCGACGAGCGACGACGGCGACGGCGACGACGACGACGACGCGAGCAGCATGCAGGTGGCGATCCGTCCCACAGCGCCTGTGTACACCACATTTCTCGCGTGCACCACAGCGCTTGTGTACACCAGAGCGCCTGCGTTCACCGCAACAGCCGTGTGCAACGCAGCGCCTGTGTACACCACAATGCTTGCGTGCACCACAGCGCCGGTGTACACCACAGCGAATGTGTACGCCGCAGAAGCCATGTGCAACACAGCGCCTGTCTACACCACAATGCTTACGTGCACCGCAGCGCCTGTGCACACCACAGCGCCTGTCTACACCACAGCATCCGCGTGCAACGCAGCGCTGGTGTACACCAGAGTGCCTGTGTGCACAGGACAGGTAGAAGGAGCATGTCGGTGAGGATCTGGTGAGGACAGCTACACGCCACGCCAGGGAGGTGCTGATAATCGAATGCGACGTTTTTCCCTCCTCCCTCCTCCACCTCCGCCTCCTCGTCCTCTTCCTCCTCCTCCTCCGTCTCTTCTCCTCCTCGTCCTCCTCCCCCTCCTCCTTCACCCTTCCCCCCTGTCGTGCGGGTCGGCACGACAGCGCACGTGCGCGTCTCAGCATGCACAGCAGAATTGTATATTCTTTGGTGTGGTGTACGCAGGCGCTGTGGTGTACGCAGGCGCTGTGGTGTACACAAGCGCTGTGGTGTCAACAGGCACTGTGGCACACACTGGCGTTGTGATGCACGCGGCTGCTGTGGTGTACATCGGCGGTGTGGTGTACATAAGCGCTGTAGTGCACGCAGGCACTATGGTGTACACAGGCGACGTGGTGCAGATCGCCACCGACATGCTGCTGCTACCCGTCCTCGGTGATTCCTCAGCAGTCCCAGACGCCGCCGGCGCGGGACGTGGCGTCATTGGCCCCCTCCCCCCCCAAGTGATTGCCGTCATCGGCCCGGAATTAAAGAAGAGGCTCCAACTGTGTTCGCGCGCACGACGACGATTAGCGACGAGCGACGAGCGACAACGAATACGACAACGACAACGACGACGACGACGACGACGACTGCAGACCAAACTCCTATGCGGATTCCTTTGCGGACCCCTATTCGGATCACGATGCGCACGGCGGCAGTGCCCGGAACGCTCTGGGGGGGGAGCGTTACGTCATGAGGGGTGGGGGGAGGGGGGCTGGGGGCCATGACGCCCGTCATGCCCAAAGCAATAAAGAAACTGGCTCCAATAAGCCGAGGTCACCCAGAGATCCGCGGGGGCCTCTCTGGAGGTCCCAGGGAGGGAGGGGCCGAACACGTCCAAGCTCCTCCGCATCAGTTTGGTTCAAGGCGCTGGAGGGCTGGGGACGACGGGCGGGGCTGCGACCCAGATGCGCTAAACAAGCCAATATCCAGGTCCATCCTGGCTAGTTTATCGAGCCGCGCCTAACCGTGGCGACGAGGACCCCCAAGAGGCGCGCCCCCCAAACAACGCCCGACACAACGACGTCGACGGGAGGCGAGGAGAGTCGGGTGCGACGAAGAGGGGTGGCCAGGAAGAAGAGCATTGGTGCAACATGGCCTGAGACATGCGCGCGGGGCGAGGGGGGGCCAAGGAACGCTTCGAGAGCAGAAGATGGGCAATGACATCTGAGAGATTCCGTGGCCCTGGCCACGATGTCCACACCTCTCCAGTCCTCAACACCCTCTTGGACGCCCCCATCAGCATGACTAGAGGCCTCCCAGGTGGGGTTCGAGCAGATGGGGTCGGAGCATCCCACCACATAGCCGATGCATCGCAACCTCGGCGACGTCGACGATGCGGCGGCGACGTCGACGTGGAGAGAACTGGGCTCCACATCGACCAGCATCGGCGATGCACTGGCGATGCGGCGCGAACCTCCGACCCGTCCACCTGGACTCCAGTCCGATGGGCCTGGAACGGCGATAGGCCAGGAGGAGGACGACGACGGCGACGGCGACAGGTGGCGACGACGACGAGGACCACGACGACGAGGACGACGACGACGACCAGTACGACGACGGCGACGACGGGACCGTGCCGAGGACGAGGACCTCGGACGAGGGCGACGGCGACGGCGGCGAGGCGAGGATGACGGAGACCACGACGAGGCCGAACGCGGGGAGCGCCTGCGAGCGGGCCACTTTGACGGCCTCGCCGAGGATCTCCTGCGCGCGCACCGCCAAGCGAGGCGGAGAACTGCCATGCCCGAGGTGGAGGAGGAGGACGAGAGGACGACGACGGCGAAAACGACAATGACGACGACGACGACGACGGCGACGACGACGCCGCCGCGACGACGACGCTACGACGGCGACGACGCAACGTGGACGACGACGCAACGAGGACGGCAGCGACGACGACGACGACGACGACGACGGCGACGGCGACGCAACGACGACGACGACAACGACGACGGCGACGGCGACGGCGACGGCGACGGCGACGGCGACGACGACGGCGGCGGCGACGACGGCGACGACGATGACGGCGACGGCGACCGACGGCGACGACGGCGATCGAAGGTCTGTATACCCCCCATGACTTGTAGGAGCATTTCTCTGTCGATGCTCCCCTTGGTGTGACCATCCGCAGTCATGTCGCGAGTATCGCACCACTGAATTATGTGTACGATTCCACGCTCCATCATCCGGCGTATCCAACTGATGTGTCCTAGAAGGGTACACTCAGTCGGCTTCTTCAAGTCTTTGCTTGACTTGCCCCCCTCGACGGCCTCGTCGTCGCAAAACCAGTCAGCATCGATCGGCGGCGAACGAGGAGGTGGATGAGGAGGACAAGGACGAGGACAGGCGCGCGCGCGAGAAGCTCTAGAGAGGAAAACGGAGAATTGGCCCATGGAGAAGATCTGGGTGGCCCCCTCAAATTAAAAAAGCCCTTGAAAGCAGGTTCGGTGAGACAGCGCATCGATGAGCGGTGTTGCAGTCTCCCCTGAACACAGGCAGTTGCAAAAGGGGCTGGGGGGCCCAACCATACGCTTCGCCTAAGGCGAAGCCCATGTCCAACATTGCTGTACCGTAGTACCGATAGTCCCAGAAGTAGGAGATCGTCGCGGGAACGACGGGCCATGTCAAGCGCAAATGTTTTCGGCCCCGATGACAAAAAATGGACCTCGCGATGAGGCGCAGTCATATGTTGGCGGCCGGCCGCTTGGGCACAAGCGGCCGCGGACAAACGATCGCTATCCCTCGTCTTTGCCCCAGCCTCCTTTAAAAGCCGGGTGGGGGGAGTCGAAGCATGAATCAGCAGCCCGCTATACAGTAAAACGCTATATGCACAAGGAAGGCAGCAACAGGCGGGCTCAACAAGGAAGGTTGACCCGCACGCAAGTACCCTTGCAAGAAAGTTGCCCCGCAGGCAAGCAACCTTGCAGACGGTTGCTCCACGGGCGGCTCAGACGATCTTGCCTGGCCAGCCCTGTATGGAATCTATTGTTTTAAGTCATGCTTGAAGGGTTGCGCTCCCCCCATGACTCCCTTTGGTGTGACCGCCCGCGGTCATGTCACGAGTGTCGCACCGCTGCGCACAGTGAACGACACCTCGCTCCACCACCTGTCGCATCCAACCGATGCGTCCCACAAGTGCACACTCAATCGGTTGCTTCAGGTCTTTGCTTGGAGAGGACTTGAAGACAGATCATGCATCGATGGCCAAAGCGACCTCAATGCTAAGGCCGCCTATCTCAAGTAAGCCTTTCAACAGAGTGGGCGCCAGAGGCCCTGCGTGGAGTTCGTGCAGAGTGGCGATCGTGGGATAGCAGTCCTTCAAGTTCTGGGCTGCTGCAAGTGTCTCCGCTGAAAAGTTCGAGCGGACCTGCAAGCGGTGAGACTTGCAGTGCGCGTCGAAAGTGTCGGCGACTGGTTTGCCAGCGTGCGTGTCCACGCCGTAGCAAGCTTGCCCCGCGAATGCCATAGCCGTTGACCTCGTCCTCGGCAGCCTCGGCATCTCCGCTTAGACGCCCGGCAACCGGAGTCGCTGCGCAGGTCGACCTCGCCCATTGGAGCCATCGATTGGTAAGCGATCTGACCAGGGCAAGCCTGCAACTTTCTGGTAATCGCGTTCTGTCGTCGCACTTGCACGTCGGTCGGTTTATGGACGCGCTGTAGGGATACAACATGCACCGTTAACCACACCAGTGCGATTAGGGCGTTAGCAGCCAGGGCACCTCTGAGGCTGACAAACATGTCAATGACCAGATTCGACCCCTGGGCGTCAGCGTCTGCGCCGGTGAGTTCATGATGTTGTATGAAGCGGAGCTGTTCTGAATTGTCTTCAACAAGTGTAACGTTTCCGTCCCCATCCTTTGCGTACCTCGCAGCACAATTTATACGCGTGTGCTTGTTGAGTTCGCACTCGCCAAAGGTATCCTGGACGCGCATGACGCGCCTGTCGATGGGGTCCTCAGTACCGACCATGTTAATGTCATCGCCATGTTTGCCAATAGGAAGGATAGAGTTTGTCTCGAACTCCTCGTCTGAGGACTTGGGTTTGAGACCAACCCTCTCGCGGTCCTCCTGAGCTTCAGCCGGGAGGCTCTTGGTGCGCCCTTGGCGCCGATGCCTGGCGCGAGGCGATGCAAGCGGCGCTTCGACTCATCGTAGTGCTAGATCCTGGAAAAGATCTATGCGCAGATGCTGAACCAAGCGGCAGAGTAAAACACGCGACGCGTTCCTTTTCTCCGCTTGCTTCCAAACGTTCCTGATAAGTGAATCCCTTTCAGGAAAGCCATGTTGATCTTCAGAGAAGCGGTGATCCATTGCTTCTGGCACGCTGCAGCGCTCCCGGGCAATCTCTCACTTGGCCGCTGCGCTGTTCCTGCGAAAGCCTCAACGTCGAAGGCATCGAAGTCCATGGATCCACGAAGTACTGAGCGCAGTCTGATGGTAAGCCCCATCTCGCCCTTCTCGTTCGTGACAATTGTCCACTTATGTGCGTATCTCGAAGTCATGATGTTTGACGCCTGTGAATATCTGGTATCCTGAAGCGCAGGTAGCCCAACCGCGTCTTGAGTTCAATACGCAAAGAATTAGATACCTTGACACGATTCGCCAGAATGTCGGCTTTCGTGAATTTAATACATAACTGCCATCTTCGTCCTTGGAGCACAGTGTGACGTGATATGTCTCAGTGATGTCTATAATATCATGTGGCTTGCCCCTCGTAGGTAAATGCCCCCGTTGTTCTTCAGCTACCGTGACCAGCGCGCTGCTGTCGGTGATCAGATGTGCGGGTACAGTGCAGAGGTCGTCTATTGGAGTTGCCTCCAGTAGCTCTCTTTCCTCCTACAGTTCTCCATGCCACACCTCTACAATATGTGCCTCGAGGTCCGCCTCTGGCTCTTCAGGCGTAGTGGACAGCCGTCCGTCTTCGCGTGGTGGCTCGGCATCCGGAGCTTCTCGGGCGCCCTCGCCTTGCGTCAGTGCGCCAGCCAGTTCTTCAAACTTCGCCATGCCTTGGTCGAAGCCCGCTTGAGGTTTGGTGGACTTCAGGCACTGGATGATCCTAGCATGTGCTGGTCCAGTTCTGTCGTATATGTTGAGGGCAGTGCAGTTCGGCTTTGTAAGAGTGGAATCCCGGGTTCGCGCCGTTGTCATAGTTCACCTATGTAGAACTGTCAGCATAAGCCACCGTTGGCAGCTCGTGGATACTCTTAGCCAGCCTGACAGAGACTACGTTCTCGATACGAAACATTCTTGATAAAATATTGAAGAGCAACTGCGTCCTTTAGGCAACAGTCGGCTCGCACGTGCCATCTGGAGCATTCCCCTTTTGGTCGGGGCGTAACCACATGTCAAAGCAGGTCACCTTGCAGGTAAATTGACCACGACTGTCAACAGAGTCCGTAATGCTGCATGGTCCGAACAAATTTCTCGAGCGATCATCGCTGCGATATACAGTGGACGTCATGCGTCGACGTATTGAAATTGTACACCGCGGCTCCCCACTCCCATGATGACTCGCCCACTGTGGGGGGCGTTTCGTGCGACCGGGAGAGGTCCACTCCAGCCACTCCAGTCGTACTTTGTAGTAGCGGGACGACGATCGTCAACCAGATCTCGCTCGTCATAGGTCCGTAATGCACGATTTGTTTTCGCTACTGAGGCGGCTTGAGTAGTAGCCTCAATCCTTGCCCGGCGGATAGTCTGTTCTCGAGAGTGGTCGGATGTTTCCGTCTGTTGTTCGTGGCCCAGAACAGGCGGGTCGGGTAGCATCGCTGGCTGCCATCCAAATAGTGCGCTGCATGGAGACACCTCATTGTAAAAGGCGAGCGCGTTGGCGGCAAATAAGGCTTCATGCTGTAGACGTGTGAACACAAGAGGTATGTCTAACCTGTTGAGTTCAGCCTCCGCGGCGTGAAGTAATTGTCGTAGTGTACCACTTCTGGCCTCAATTGTCGTAGCGCATTGCCCACGCGCGCGTGTCCTCAGCTCACTGCCTTTTGCCTTAAGGACTACCTTTGCGGCGTCGTTGCGAAGTGCGCCTTAGCAGGTCCGAATTGCATCCAGCACTGATGATACGCATCTGAGATGCTGGTCATGGATTTACCTGGTACCTCGCTTCCAGCGCCAAATCGAACGCAACGGTCGATTCTATGACATAGTGTGTTCCTGCTTGTAGAACAGCAGGTCGAATTCGGCTTCATCGTTAAATCTGCCAGGTAGCGCAGTAGACAGCATGACGGCATGCCCCGGCCTGTCCCAAGCCCTGCACTCCCGACATGTATCACAAACGCCCTTCATCAGGTTCAGCCTGGCGCTGTCCAGACCAGCCTTGGTTAAGATGAGTCTCGTCTTAGGCTCTTTGGCGTGGAACCACCGCAAAAGCAGTTTTCGCAACTCGCGTGTTACCGCGCTTGGGTCGAGGCTGCCTAAGTTCCGTAGACTGGTTTGCACGTCGAACCTTGACCAATCTGGAAACCTTGGACGAGATGCAGGGTCACCCGCAGGTGGTGGTGGAGGTGGATCCCCTCCTTGCTGTCGCCCTTGTCTGACCACTATCTGTGGTGGCTGACTGCGATCGCCCGAGCTGCCAGCTCCGCTCGAGGCAGGTTGCCCCGCAGCTGGTTAGCGGCATGTCTGCCTACTGAAATGTCGTGGCTGCTGGCGCCCGCTGTTGGCCCAGCTATGGGTTTGGCCCTCGGAGCTCGTAGCCG